TTTCCTTAGCGAAAATGTTGTCCGAGACTTCGTTGAGGAGATATTAATGGAAAACCCCGGACCAATCAGAGCGCAAGTATGCCAATGGAGCGTCCCCTGATTGGTCAGTGTTTTATGTTAATATGTCCTCAACGAGGCCTCGTACAATATTTTCGCTAAGGAAAAAGTTGTTTCAAATCACCTCCCGAACCACCCCTTTCAATGACCTCCACCATTTTTGTAACACCCTGTATAATACTATTACTTAATTTATGTAACATATCTTATAACTAACTGTTTACCCCATAATTGTAGTTTGACTAGGGATTGGCTGTTTTTTCGGCATTGGTTGAGTGCCATTTTCTTGTAATTCTAGGCTCCGCCGCTGCTTTCCCTAACGTGCCTACTTTATCGACTGTTCCGTTCCCCGTCCGAGCTATCCTGCCCTTTGAGTATATACATAGAAATGGAGGAGGAATTGCTTTGTTCTGTATACATCTTTGTTCTGTATGAAAGTGTGTCCAAAGTCTGTACGAGAGAGAAAGGTATAGAGTATAGAGTGATATCCGTCCTCTCTGCGCATACGCCAAAATCGTACCTGCACTGACCTGCAAAAGTATTATAAAACAAAATTTGTACATCTCGATAATATATGAAATTGCTGTTAAATATACTTTTTTCGGAAAAAGAATATTTTCTGAGGATCGCTTTTTTGAAACTATTTTTATTTTTTCCTTTAGGAATTTTTTTCTCATAAGTAATATAAGTTGCTCCTTATATGTCATATGACATAACATGCTTACTTTTGACCGAGGATGTGAAAAATAATGTTTACAGACAGTTTTAGATTTCGACCAAAATCGAAGAGCAACACCGTTGCGAAATCGTAAAAAATATTTCTTTCTTTTTTAAAAAATTGTGCTTTCACTTTAGAAAAGAAGTTTGTAGATGTTTTTTGTAGGGTTTCTCGAGATCTACGACGAAAAAAAGTTTCAATCCAAAATGTTTATTATTAAGAAAGTTACGAATTTGTTAACTTTGTCAACGTTTTACATATTTTTCCGTCAAAAACAACTAAAAAATAAATTATTTCGTTTGTCTTATATTTTTTAAGAATTCCTGATCTAATGACACGCATTTTTCCGGTTTGAACATTAAAATCTGTTTATCTTATCAAAAGTTATGATTTATTCAAATTTTAGTCGAAAATTCTATATTGCACGTAACTCGAATTTGGTAACAGATATTGAAAAATTGGTTGGACGAAAGTTTTTCAGTATGAAAACGTTCACAAAATTGCGAATACAATTTCTATATAGCGGGTGGCAAAAAGATTTATGGAGAAGATCATTTATGAAGATTTTAGGTTGAAACTTTTTTTTGTCATAGATCTCATGGAACCCTACAAAAAACATATACAAACTTTTTTTCTAAAGTGAAAGCGCAATTTTTTTAGAAATGAAAAAAAGTTTTTTTAAAGTTTAAGTTTCTTTTAATAATAACATCAGAATCAGCCTCACTCGATACTGAGTTATATTTAAGTTTCTTATGAAACATTTTTCGCTACATGTCACAATACAGAAGTTATCAGAATGTCACAATCGGCTGAGACACCCTGTATATGAGATTCAACTACTTCTTCATAATTTTATGGGTTACATGTATATTTACACAAGCCTATCTGTACAACTTTTATTTGAAGAATCTGCTTAACGTCATCTGAACACGTAAATAATGGTGATTAGTGAAACAGATCAAAGAATAAGAAAATTAATCAGTTCTATTGATTCAGTTTTTGTTTTATTTTGTAACATTAATAGTTAAATCGTTTTTTATTGCATCAATTATAGACTTATTTATTGCTAATATCCATTTTGATTCATTAAATCATGAAATTTTATTCAAGAAAATCAAACACAGTACGAGTAAAGATGTCATGTTTATGACGAGGAAGGTTCTTCCTCATTTGATATTTTTTGTTGTTGTTTTTTTTTTTTTTTTTTTGACGAAGTCATCTAAAGTCGTTTTTTGTTAATAACTTTTTAATAAGCGGTGAGCGACGGTTAAGTTATTAGAAAAACATTGACAACATATGTCAAGGTCAAGGTCATAGGGGTCGCCTATTCGGGATTTTTACCATAGTAACAATTTCATTGCAGACGATGTTCGAGGACCAGGTTTCAAGAAACAAGATGGAAAATCGAAACGAAAGAGACGTGACTCTATAGACAACACTCAAGATTTTTATAACCTATCCGGTGACGTTTTCGATATGGAATACCCAGAGGCAGAACAACTGATTTTGTTCGATCAGAGAGATGGAATGTCGACAGAATATAACGACACTATAGTTGAAGAACTACCAATCGAAGTAAATACCGAAGATCTTGATTATTTTTCGGGACCTACGTGGCAAAGAAATAAAATACCAAGTGAGTACAAAAATTGATATTTCTGGATCGTTTCTGATTTTGTACTCGTCAAATTAATTTATGGCTATCCTGTTGTAGTCCAAATTCATTGTATGATTAAATATAGCTTAGGAATGGCTAAACACTCTCAATTTCAAGTATTTAGTTAATTACAAAGTATTAACGGGACAAAAGAAATATTTCTGGATATTTTTAAATATACTTATGGTACATTGATAAGGTTTAAAGCTCAAATTTGTTCTTCTTACGGTTTTACTTTAGATAATACCATTCAACTTTCGTAATCCTTTTTTAATTAAATATATTTATTATGTTTAGCGATATCCAAGTTATCTCGAATCGATGAGTCAAACCTACTTTCTAATTTGTATAGTTTTAGTTTTTATTTCCAAGGATACTTGTTAATTCCATTCGATATATTTAATAATAACAAACTATACAGGGTGTTAACAAATATGCGAGACACTTTCTCAGGATCAAGTCTTCATACCAGTACAAATCGAAAAGTCTCTTACCATTTTGCGATCTGAGGCTTCGTTGTTGAGATATAAGCGGTTGAAACTTACAGGTGGACTTCCGGCGCGGGCTGTTAATAAAAAATTCATAATAATTTAATATTTTTCATATGCACGTCGACCATATTGGATCCGCCATTTTGAATTTTGAAATTCTGATACCAGATTCGTAATTTGCAGCCCAAATAACCATAAAATATCAAGTTTCATGAAAATGTAACAACTTTTCAATATATATGTCGGCCATATTGGATCCGCCATTTTGAGTTTTGCAATTGTGATATCGGATTTGCAATTTCTGGCCGAAATAACTCACAAATACCAAGATTCATGAAAATCTAATGCACATGTCAGCCATATTTGAGCCGCCATTTTGAATTTTTCAATTCTGATATTAGATTCAAAGTTTGCGATTCAAATACGTTATAAATACCAAGTTTCATGAAAATCTAATAACTTTTCAATGTACATGTCGCCCATATTGGATCCGCCATTATGAATTTTGCAGTTCTGATACTAGATTCGTAATTTGCTGCCCAAATAACTCTTAAATATTAAGTTTCATGAAAATCTAATAACTTTGTAATATACATATCGGCCATATTGGATCCGCCATTTTGAATTTTGCAATTCTGATACCAGATTCGTAATTTGCTGTCCAAATAACGTCACGTTGGAGGAATGAAACAAGTGAGTGTGCATCGGTGTGTCTTTTTCGCGTGTGAGTGCGTTCATTTGCGACCGCACGTTCAGCTGACAGGGATTTAAACAGTCCGCGCCAGAAGTCCACCTGTAAATTTCAATCGCTTATATCTCAACACCGAAGCCTCAGATCGCAAAATGGCGACTTTTCGATTTGTACTGTTATGAAGACTTGATCCTGAAAAAGTGTCTCTCGTATTTGTTAACACCCTGTATAATATATAAATATAAATCGTTTGATATGCTTCTAGGAAAGAAAATGATCGTAAAAGAATCATCACCGCGATGGCTGGAAATCGGAATAGCTGCTGATTACTCCGTAGTGGATTTTCATGGAATGCGAGTGCAGCAGTACATTTTGGCTCTTTTGAACATCGTAAGTAGCCGTAAAATTCATGAAAAATGCAGTAGTAAAATAAATACGTAATTATGAAGTCTAGTCTCAAAACATTCATCATGAAATCATATTCTTAAATATATTAAATATATTGTAGACTAATGTGTGTAAGTTACTCCGATTGTTTTGATTTATTTTAAACTAGCTGTGCCGCGCGCGGTTTCACCCGCGTGGAATACTATAGGGTGTCCCAAAAATATTGTAACACCTTGAGGGGGGTGGTTTGGGACGCGATTTGAAACAACTTTTTCCTTAGCGAAAATGTTGTCCGAGGCTTCGTTAAGGAGATATTAACAGAAAACCCCGGACCAATCAGAGCGCGAGTATCCCGGCGGAGCGGTTGCGGTAGGCGTGGACTACGCGCTAGGCAGACCGCCCTCGCGCTCTGATTGGTCAGGGGTTTTCTGTTAGTATCTCCTTAACGAAGCCTCGGACAATATTTTCGTTAAGGAAAAAGTTGTTTCAAATCACCTCCCGAATCACCCCTTTCAATGACCTCCACCATTTTTGGGACACCCTGTATAGATGAATTGGAAGCTACAAAAATTATAGTAAATGTTTAATTCTAGGTTAGTGCAATTTACATGGACCCATCTCTCGAGTCAAACATGGTCTTGGTAATTGTACGAATGATTTTGTACGCAGAAAAGAGAGACAGTATGGTGAGTTACGCAAAATTAAATTTCTCTCCTCTGGATAGATTTAATTTTTAAAAATGACAATGCAACAAGAAGGGAGATAACAAACATTCATATATACATAAATATACATATCTTTGCCTTTACTAATATTTTCAATTTGATATTATTTTGTTTACTTGGAAATTAGTGGTACACAATTACACATTGTTGATCTTGCCTTCAACTTTTCTTTTCATTTTAAAAATTACAGAAGTCTTACAACGGTATTTTTGAAAATGTCAACTGATTGTGAGTCTACATTTGTTTTTGTTTTTATCTGATGTGTATTTTTCGAGCTGCACCCAATTTTCAACGATTTTTTGCTCATTCTGATTTCTGTCCATTACAGCACCATCTGTGAACCAAAATGCAAAAACTCCTAGGTAAAATTTATATATTTTTTTCTGGAGAATCCAAATCTGCAATTAAAAATTAGGGGTTCCCATTAAAGTTCTTTATCTTCCCCCACCTTCACCCTCAAGGGGTAGCGGTGGGATGTCGAGTTTGGTATCATTGGATGTCTCCTTTCGCAACGAACAACTTTCATTACCTACTTGTTTTGATCTGATGCATAGTTCTCGAGATATTTCAATGTCTTGAGATAAAATGACCACCCTGTATACAGGGTGGTCCACGCAATTGTTTCAAGTCATAACTCCGTTATTATTGCATTTACGAAAAAATGCCAAAGGAGAAAGATAAATGGTACGAAGAGCACTACATCTGTAGGCCTTTAAATTTTGTTCAGATGCAGCAGTGCATATGCAATTAACAATTGCATCATTTCTTTAAATAGAAATGCATATTTTTTCTTACACAGATCGATTTTTCTGTTCATTCTACGTACAAAATGATTAGGGCACCATGGCAAAAAAATTATTAGTTCTCGAGATATTTTCAAAAATGTCTTTACTGAAGAAGACCACCCTGTATATTGCTATAGGCTTAACGAACCACTCTCCATCTCCATGCGTTTGTGATTATGGTTACGTCACAGGTTCGCCGCGGCGATGCTAGGCGGTCCCTCGAGAACGTGAACAAATGGAATAGGAAAATGCTGTCTTCGGCGAACGTAAACCATGATGTCGCTATATGGTTAACACGTTTAGACATCGGTGGTCCCTCTGGATACGCACCTGTGTCTGGAGTATGCGATCCAGCGAGATCGTGCGCTTTGAACCGAGACGAAGGCTTAACTAGCGCGTTTATCATCGCTCACGAAGTTGCCCATATGTGAGTATCGCGCGTATTTTTAAAATTAATTCCTATTCTTGAGTAATATTGTTATTATTATATTTTAAAATGGTAGTCTATTTTTTTTAAACCATTCTCGAGACAATTTTTATGGTTGCCTAGCAGGTAACGTAATTGACATAAAGTTTTGAAATTTAGTACGTTTATTTGTACAAATACAGGGTGCGACCGCACGGGTGGTACGACCAAGCAGAAGGTGATACTGTCTACCAATTTATGTGTCACAATTATTAGTTGCAATTTCTTGCCATATTGGATACAGTAAAATTGTTGTTTTTCATCAGAGAATAAAATATAAATAATACGATTATATCACGCAGAAACGAAATCTTGTTAAGATACAAAGAAAATTTTCCAATTTATAAAAATACAGTGTTTGCATCTATACAAGGTGTCCCACAAATGTTGAAGTTCCTCGATAGGGGAACACTATAACCTTACATTTAATTATAAATACTTTAGTGCAAGTAAATACATGGCGTCCCAAAAATGTTGGAGGTCCTTAAAAGGGGTGATTCGGAAGGTGATTTGAAACAACTTTTTCCTTAGCGAAAATGTCGTCCGAGGCTTCGTTGAGGAGATATTAACGGAAAACGTCGACCAATCAATGCGCGCGTATGCCATTGGAGCGGCCGCTGATTGGTCGGGGTTTTCCCTTAATATCTCCTTAACAAAGCCTCGGACAACATTTTCGCTAAGGAAAAAGTTGTCCCAAATCACATCCACTCTGTATATACAGAGTGTCCCAAAAATGTTGTAACACCTTGAAAGGGGTGATTCGGGAGGTGATTTGAAACAACTTTTTCCTTAGCCAAAATGTTGTCCGAGTCTTCGTTAAGGAGATATTAACGGAAAACGTCGACCAATCAATGCGCGCGTATGCCGTTGGAGCGGCCGCTGATTGGTCGGGGTTTTCTGCTAATATCTCCTCAACAAAACCTCGGACAACATTTACACTAAGGAAAAAGTTGTTCCAAATCACATCCACTCTGTATATACAGGGTGTCCCAAAAATGTTGTAACACCTTGAAAGGGGTGATTCGGGAGGTGATTTGAAACAACTTTTTCCTTAGCGAAAATGTTGTCCGAGTCTTCGTTAAGGAGATATTAAGGGAAAACGTCGACCAATCAGAGCGCGAGGATAACAGTGGAGCGCCCGCGGTAGGCGTGGGCTACGCGCTAGGCGACCGCCCTCCGGCAGCATACCCGCGCTCCGATTGGTCGTCGCTTTCTCTTAATATCTACTTAACGAAGCCTCGTACAACATTTTCGCTAAGGAAAAAGTTGTTTCAAATCACCCCCCGAACCACCTCTTCCAAAGACCTCCAACATTTTCGGGACACTCTGTATAATACACAATTCATACTGCAATGTTAATATAAGTAAAACACCACACCCTACCACAACAAAGTGGCCAGTAAATATTTCTATTTAAACACCAATTATAAATAATGAAATATTAATTAACACAAAATTAATTTCTTCGCATAATATTTAATCATTTCATTAACACTATAACCTAGTCACAAACCTTTCTTCTCCAATCATAAATTACTAAATCGACAACTTATCAACTCAAACTTATTCCAAAAGTTTGCAAATGTTCGATTGCTGCTTCGTTTCTCGACTTTTGTCTAGCCCTAAAAATATCTATTTCGTTCTTTTTACGATATACGATCGTGTTCCTCGTAGTCTAGGTCTGACTCATGACGGTGACGAATCAACCGGAAACGCGTGCAGGGAAGAAGGATCACGTGGAAGCGTGATGGCACCAATGGTCGCGGCGACGTTTCATCACTTTTACTGGTCCGCTTGCTCAAAGAAGGAATTCCATCGTAGGGTGAGGTGAGAAACGTCGTTTTATTCGTGCGCGATGTTTTTAGAATTACATACCGCTAAAATAGGTACTTGTAGACGGTGGTCGTGTTTATTGAACAAACCGAAACGCGACAGTTCGACTCCATTAAAGGCCACTGTTCGCGAAACGTTCACCATGGACGAGCAGTGCAGGATGGAATTTGGCGAGGGGTGAGTCTTTTTTAGTAAAAATAATTGTATGGAAATTAATACAGTTACTATTATTGTAATTATTTTAATAATTAAATTATTAACGTTAATTTAGTATAAATCATTCTAAGGTAAAAGTAATTCTTCTAACGTGGCTACAACATAAATAAATTATATTTACTAGTACATAGTAACTTGTAAAATTAAAGAGACTGAAATTAATTGTAAGAACAATTTTAATACTTATAAATTATTTTAAGGAATATGCGATCCAGGTGCAATATAAATAAATTATATTTATTAGTGTGCAGTAGCTTATATAATCAAATTGCTGTGACTGAGATTAATTATAGGAACAATTTTATAAATTATTATTTTAATAATTTATATAAATAAATTATATAAATAAATTATATAAATAAAATATAACATATAATATAAATAAATTTAATATAAATATAAATATATAATATTTATATACATTTATTTAAATATAATATAAATAAATTATTTTAATAATTCAACAATGACTGACACTTAACCTGTTAATAGACTGTAATGTCACACGTTATATTTTTACGATGATCAGTTAATGTGTCTTTGCATCCTCTTAGTTACGAACTCTGCAAGAGCTTTGATGTCGTGGAACCGTGTTCTCACTTATGGTGCGGTAATAGCAATATTTCTCAAACGTGCAAAACCAAGAAGGGACCACCTTTGGAGGGCACTTTATGTGGGGTCTCTAAGGTAAACGCACACTTTACATGTGAATTATGACAAGAGTGATGTGAACGACTAACTGGTTCGATAAAGTAACAAGATAATTGAAAACTAAATTTATACATTATTTTTGTATCATCATTGTAGATTATTTCATTGTCTGTTGTTCACTGTTAAAATTTTTAACAAGTTTGTCAATTTATCTTCAATATCTGCCTCGAATTTTTAATTATCTTTATCATTATTTATCACTGATTGTTGGCAAATTTATTAAATTTATTTATTTAATTTAAAATAGTCACGGACAGAATAAAGTCGTTAGGAACAAATTGATATTTAAATAAAGGTAAGGTAGCGAAACTGTGATAAATAAAAAATTTAGTTATGCTGGATACTCTAAACAAATTTATTTCAAATTAAACGTTCTTAGTTACAAAGGAGAACTCTTGAAAATAAATATAAATCTAAAAATAAATATGGAAAATATATATTTCTGGTGTCTTTTTGGCATTCTCATAAAAATCCTTATTTATTTTTAGAAACTACAGTTCTGAAAAAGTATACAGGGTGTCCCAGAACTCCTGGGAGGTAGCTGAGACGATTCTGAACAACATTTTCCTTTGCAAAAATGTCGTACGAGGCTTCGTTTTTGAATTATTAACGAAAAACCGCCGACCAATCACAGCGCCCGATTTGCGCGCGCTCAGCCGTGAGAGGCTGGCCCGACGGCTGGCCTTGAGCGTCCTGGCTCGAGCCAGCCACTCGCGGCTTTGCGCGCGCGCCACTCGGCCGCTGTGATTGGTCCGTGGTTTTTTATTAATAATTCAAAAACGAAGCCTCATCCGAAATTTTTGCAAAGGAAATTGTTGTTCAGAATCGTCTCGTCTACCCCCTGCCTCCATCTCTGACATCTATTTCTGGCTCCTGCAGGAGTTCTGCGACACCCTGTATAATAGCTTCAAAAATATTAAAAATAACCGAATCAAGTTGAATACCATTTACCTAATCAGAATAATAAACAAATGTGACACGATTTATTCAATTTCCAATGCTTCTATGCATGTCTAAGCTTTTACTTTTAATTTTTTATTATATTTACAAACATTTTTAATGTAACCACAACGCAATTGTTTCAGTGGTGTACGAACGGTCAATGTCAGTCCGCGACCAAAAAGAACCTCGATTTGGGTATAGTGTTAAATAAACCCAAAGATGGAGGCTGGAGTTCGTGGTCTGCCTGGGAGAAGTGTTCGAGGACATGCGGGATAGGAGTGCAATGCCGAACACGAAAATGTAACAAACCGCTGTTAGTAATACTAACTCATTTGAATAACTATTAAAACCCCGTGCACTTAGAAAATTTTAGAACAGAGGCAAACACTTGGAAATTCTGAACAAGACTATAGTAAAAGGTACCAATTGAGGTTGTCCTGCGTAATGTATCAATTTTTAATGAAAAAATAATTTTCAAAAATCTAGAATAGGATATAAAATAAAATAGAATAAAATTCTGAATTTTAATTAAAAGAAAAGCTATTGTGCTAATTTAATTTTTCCTTTAGAAAGGTATTAGTTATATTTTTTATATACTTGCATAAAATAAATAATAATAATACATAAATTTTATGTTTAGTGTAAAGTAGTGAGAACCTCAATTTGCTAATCTTAAGATAAGCATTAATATTCGTAAAGTTTTGACTTTTCATTGCCACAATTATTAAAATTAAAATTCAACATTTAAATTAACAAATTCTTTTGTATTTTGAATTTTAATATACAAACTTGTTTTAATATGATCTTTGCTCGAGGAAGATATTCTAAAAATATTTAAAGATATTCTTTTATACATAACATATCAATATCATTTAACATTGAATTATTCAAAATTTAATTGTTTCGAATCTCTGAATAATATTAACAATATTAATCTGCAAACCTTTATGCCATGGGGATATAAATTTGTAAAACACTTTGAATAATAAGACCCTTGAATGAATAATACCCGGTTTTAAATGACAATTTGTACATTGGATTTGAATAGTGGAATCATCCCTCTTTGTTAAGGTTTATACATTGCAAGAGATTTGTCCCTATTGATCCTATCAATACGCGATGAAAATCGGTACCTGATCCCCTTTGAAGTGAATTGTGGATCCTGATTCTGTCACTTGAAAGCGGGAAGTAATTTATCCCAAACGAAGAAATCAATTGAACTGGGCTCTGGAGAGCATGCAGGCCATGCAGTTGGTCCACCTCTATCGATTCGACGACCAGAATGTTTGTTATTAGGGAGAGTTCGAACAGTACCGAAGAGAGTCGTTCCATATTCTCAAATGCAGTGTTTCTCAAACTTTAAGTAAATATCTTTACGAAAATAAAAATTGAGAAAATAGAAGTTCATTGTAAAAATTGATTTTCAGAAAAGAGGTCTGGGTTAGGTCTGAATTAGGGTTGTTATTATTCGTTAAATCAATTTTTTAAAAATATCAGCTTACAGG